TGTCTTCCTGTTTGATCCGATCGTTCTGAAAGTCTTCGTTCACGTCCAGAACCAGAACAGGAAGTTCACTGAGGTACTCAAAGTCCAGCCTGCACGCACAGAAAAATGATTTCATCCCACTGACCCTCAACGCAGCAGCAGCTGTCTGAGCGTGCTCAGTTACCTGAGGTTCCTGTCGTAGAGCCACGCCTCGTGTTTGAAGTGCAGCTGCTCCAGATACTCCAGAGGGATTCCCTGCTCCTCCTGCCGGCCGCGGTGCAGCAGGCGCTGCATGCAGCGCTGCAACACACAGAGGACCGGCCAGGTGACCGACCCGGTCTCAGAACCGGGCCGGTCACGTGGCGGGGGAGGAGAGGGAGAGGTCGTTTACCTGCGGGGGGGCTCTCAAATAGATGATGGCGTCCAGGGCGATGTCAGGCTCAAACTGGTTCAGCAACCAGGTGTGCCAGTCCTGGTAGACGCTCCACTCCGTGTCCAGCAAGTTGCCGGTCTCAAACAGGTTGGACGCAAAGACGTACCTGAGACAGGTGGACAGGGAAATGGGTTTCAGTCAGAATCTCGGGCAGAGCCAGAACCCTGACCTGAACCCGACAGGTGCTGCCGTGACGATGACCTTTTGCACTCGGCCACAGAAACACAACAGTTTGATTCGTCTAGTTTGACTAGAAAATCCAGATTGGGTTCCGGAGGAACCGAACCCGGCCGGAGGAATTCTGGTTTTGGTCTGGTACCTGTCTGAGTAGATGGAGCGCTCGTAGAACTGAACCGGGTTCTCCGCCTGCTGCAGCTTGGCTGATGGAGGCTGAAGCTGAGACCGGACTCTGCTGAGGCAGGCGTAGCTCTGCACAGGTGAGACGCAGGTCAGTCACAGGTGAGACGCAGGTCAGTCACAGGTGAGACGCAGGTCAGTCACAGGTGAGACGCAGGTCAGTCACAGGTGAGACGTGGCGCCGCCTCAGGGAGCGGAGTCTGCTGCACTTACCTGGAAGGTGTAGGCCCAGCGGCTCGGCTTGTCGTACAGCATCTGCAGGAGGTTCCCGCCGCACTTCTGGGAGGAGCTCAGCTCCTGGACAGAGGTCAAAGGTCAGGTTCTCTAGCTGATCAGTTCGGAGAAATTTTCAGCCTTCATATTTTCAAAATAACAAAACTTCAACGTGACTTTCTGTTTTTCAGCTGCACTTTTTTCCCGCTGCTTCATATTGTTTGATCCTTTGAACCCATTAATGAATTTATGATTGACTAACTTTCTTCATAACTTCTCCGTAGAACCAACAGCATGAAACGAATCAAACATCACAAAGAGTCCATCCTGGTCTCTGCAGATCTACAACAGGAAGCCCCTCCCACTCTGGACCGGCCTCTGACCGGCTGCCTCGGCTGCTCACCTGGTAGACGTCGTCGCCGTCGCTTTGAACGTTGCACCACTTCCCAATCGGTTCTGGGATCACCTCCCAGTCTGAGGAAGAGGCCTGGAGGAGGCGGACGAAGGTGGATTTACCTGCAGCTGCACACACACACACACACACACACACAAACCTAATCAGCACTGATCCATCAGCTTATCAGCACGCACTGAACCAAAACCCATCAATCAGCTCCTCTCCTCATGAACCCAACAAACATAAATCCAGCTGGCAGTTCAGCTGCTGACCACAAGGAGTGAAGCAGCTAAATGCTTCACTCCTTGAGGTCAAAGTGCCTTATAATTCATAGTCTCTGGAGCTGTAGGTCTTAAATGTTGACACAACATGTGGCCCGGACCCTCCACCAGCGGCTGGTCCGCTGTGTTCCTGCCACGTGCTTCGGTTCTGGCGGGTTGGACGGGCTCTGGTTGGCTCAGGTTCTGTTCTGGAGTCCAGAGGTTCCGAGGCAGAACTCACCGATGTTTCCCTCGATGGAGATCTTCTTGTGTCTGCGGGAGCCGGAGAGCGGGGAGCCGGTCGGAGCTCCGCGGAGCCTCTTCGGAGGAGTCGCCATGTCTGACCGGAGACTTCTGCAGGGTTTCTTCAGGCTGCGGATGTTTACCTGTCCAGCTGGTCTTTCTCCGAGCGCGCGCTGAAACAGTAAAAAACCGCGCGACTCACTTTACGGATTAAATTCCGCGCTCGCAGAGTTCTGCTTCCGGGGCGGGGCTTCTGCTTGTTCTTCTTGGCTTTATTGGTGGCTGGCAACCAAATTAAGGTGCCCTTACCGCCACCTACCGGACCGGAGTGTGGTCTTAAATGATTTTCAGAGGGAATTTAACGATACTTGTTCTTCTTTCACAGAGCCACCGGGCACATGAAGGGTTTTAGAGTTTTAAGAGTTTGTTTTGTAAACCATATCTGATCAGGGAGACCTACAATATAACAAGCTGCTTATGTTTATTTATTTTTAAGTATTTGAAAATAATAAAAAAATCTTCTTTTTAATTTTATCAAACTAGATCTGAATGAATGAAATAAATATGAAAATAATTTCCACCTGTTGTCTATTCCATTTGCACAACAGCAGGTGATATTGATTTTCAATCAGTGTTGCTTTCTAAGTGGACAGTCAGTTTTCCCAGACGTTTAATTTACTTGGAGTTATATTGTGCTGTTTGAGTGTTCCCTTTATTTTTTTTGAGTAATATATATATATATGTGTGTGTGTGTGTGTCACAATGCATGTTTAGGATGAACATGCATTGGTGAGCAATTCCATTACCCTTTCAGTCAGATATTCATATGTTTCGATATAGTTAAGAGATTTTTTCAAATATAACTGGAATTCAGATAAATAATGTTAAGAACTGGGGACTGTAATGGAAAATAATGTGCTCCTCACCCCCTTTGTGCTTTAGATTGTGTCTGATGATGACCTCATCATGAGATTGGTCAAGCTGCTTCTTTAAATTTTGCTGATATCTCCAAGATGCTCAGTCTGGGCGATCTGATCGCTAACAAACCATGGTCGATATTAGCCAAATTTTATAAAAGCAGTTTAAGGAGTGAATCAGAGTAATTGAAAACCTTTCATTGTCTAAATATTTTATTATTCCTGGATTATCTTCTCACTTCTTTCCACAATGAATTTTAAGATCCAGACCATGTTTTGTGTTCAGACATGATTTCTGCCTCGGTTTCAAGAACATTCTCCGTTCACCGCTGGGGGGCAGTAACGCACCCGGAAGTCCTCCGCGTCGCTGCGAGCCGAGAAGAAGAAGAGGCGCATGATGGCAGCTCCCGTGGATCTGGAACTGAAGAAGGTACAGAGGTTCTGGTTCTGTCTGATACTAAGTGGTACTCTCTGCGCTCACCTGTTTCCGGTGTGGCCATGCAGAAAGCTAGCAGGTAGCAATTAGCCTGCAGCATCTACCGGAACCAGAACCTCATTTATTGCTAAGTGTGGAAGGTTCGGGGTTCCGTTAGAGCGGTCCCAAATTTATGGTTCCTCTGCAGTCGGGTTTCGACCTTCCTTAGAACCCGGAGAACTCTTCTATTTCTGGACGGATCATTATGATTATTTTCGCTTGTCTTTGCGTGTATCCGCCCCGCTCTCCTCACGATGCAGCCGCTCTGTCAGGGTCAGAACCTGGAGAAAAAACGGTCCCCTGAACGCACCACTCATCGCTTCCCACCGGCTTTCTTTCTGGAACCGAACGCTGGTTCCGTGGTACCAGGACCAGAAACCTCCTGGGTCAACTCTCAGGGAGGATTACAGCTGGAGACCAGTCCATAAAAGACTGCGCAGTTTTCACACTAAAACTTGGCGTACGGACAAATTTAGAAATGTGCGGCGTACAACAAAAAAATTATTTGTAAAAGCCGTGAGCCTTCTTTAAATCCCAACTCGCGGGAAATAGAGCGCAGCTGCTGGACCGCCCTGTCGCCACCCATAAATATATATGTAAATTAGTTTAAATACCCGGAAGTCTGCCACCACGTGAATCAGTAACCATGGCAACGTCCTTGTTTGTAACAGTTTAAGCATTTGTAATATTAATAATTGCATATTTTATTTAAAAGGCGCTGTCAGAGCACATAAGGTCACCTCACAAGAATAAAAATAACAAATTTTAAAGGAAAAAAAAATCAAAATTGTAAAAACAATAAAGAAAGAAAATGCCTATTTGAACAGCAGAGCATGCAGTCGGGATTTAAAGACAGGGCCCATGATTGTGGAATCATGAGCATAGGCTGTCATGGGGCTGTTTTGTTTTTTTAGCTCAGAGTGACGCCTCCTGTCGTTGCAGGCCTTCTCAGAACTGCAGGTGAAGATGATCGACACACAGCAGAAGGTGAAGCTGGCCGACCTGCAGATCGAGCAGCTCGGTCGGGTCCAGAAGCACACCAAGCTGACGCAGGCCGAGATCTCCACGCTCCCCGCCAACACGCGGCTCTATGAGGGCGTCGGCCGCATGTGAGTGGTCCCCCACTGAGTCATGACATTGTGGGCTGAGAGGACGATCTGTAACGGTCTGCCGTTTCAGGTTCGTCCTGCAGTCCAAGGAGGAGATCGACGACCTGCTGACCGACAAACAGAAGACGGTCGACGACAAGATAAAAGAGCTGGAGGTAAAGAGCTGAGATTTACTGCACGCCCTGAACACAACTCGGCTCTGCTGCTGGTCCAGCTGGCGCGGCAGGTCTGGTTCTGCAGAACTGAGTTGTGACCTTCGTCATCCTGAGGCAGTTCAGATTTAATCATTTACTCAAAAAGCAAAAACTCGCTTTTTAAAAGTTGCTCTAAATGAAATTGAAGGATCTACTGTTAGCCTATCAGGTTCTTCCAAAGCCATGACATCATCACACTCAGCCTGGTTTGTGTTTGTATGGCCCGCTCTGACCTCTGACCTGTGTGTGTTCAGCAGAAGAAGGTGTACCTGGAGCGCAGCGTCAAAGAAGCAGAGGACAACATCAGAGAGATGCTCCTGTCCCGGCGAGCCCACTGACCAATCAGATTCACTTCCTGCTCATAATAAACTCATCAAGCTCCGCTCCGTTTCCCGTCTGTTTGATGATGTCACAAAAGCATGCTTGCATCACTTCTTGCTTTATTAACAGCTCATACCGCAGATTATGTCATCAGAAAGCAAGTTTCTTATTGGTTGAGTCTGAAATCTGGCGTTGCAATGTCCTGCGATACCTGAAGTATCCTGCAGCTTTCACCAGGAACCTCAACCATTCTCAGATAATCTGTTTGTTCGATGTCGCGATTACATCATCCAGTGTGGTTGTTATTGGGGTTCTGGACGAAGTTGATGGAGTAGGAACCGCTGGATGGGTCCTGGTTGACCTGGAAGTTGCTGGTGGAGAGTCCGAACGGCCGCAGGATCAGGTTGCCCAGGTCCTTCAGCTTACCTGGACAGGACACACGTTTAGAGACACGTTCAGGGACCAGGTGTGCACAGCACAGACGCAGTGCGTTCAAGGGCAGCACGTACCCATCATCTCCTCCTTCAGTTTCTCGTTTCGCTCCTGAATCTGCTGAGGCAGCCGCTGGGGGACACACAGGTGAAGGGTGGGACAGGTGAGACGGACACAAAAGGACTTTAAACTGACAGCTTAACTGAGGATTTGGATCAAATTTGGTGTTCAGAATCTGAAACACGGTTTTCCTCATGGAGTCAGAGCTGCGAGGCTCCGACTTCAGTGCTCGTTGGTCCCAGCGGTCAGTGAACTCACCATGCAGGCCTGTCGTGCTCCGCTGTGGCTCGGATCTTGCTCCAGAACCTTTTTGTAGTCCTCCAGAGCTTCATCAAGCTTCTCCGACTTCTCATAAAGCTCCGCCCTCCTCAGTAACGCCCGCAGATACTCTGGATCCAGATCTATTGCTATGGTAACCAGAGCCAGTGTGCTGATTGGTTAGCTTATTTAAATTAAAAGGTGATAATATGATGTGGTGACTCACCTCTGCTGCAGTCTGAGATGGCCTCATCCTTCAGGTCCTGAAAAGACACAAAGCTGTTTGTGTTCCGCTTGTACAAACCATTAGCATAATGCTAATACATTTAGCATCTTTATTTAACAGGAGAGTTGGGTTAGCTAGATGCAAAGCAACAAAGGCCAATATCTAAAACATTAAAAAAAAAAAACATAGGAGCTAAGTGAGGTAGCATAGCGTTAGCATCAAGTGATACTTATGCTATGCAGCACATCATAGCATAAGCATCATGATAGCCTTACCAGGTGTAGCATAGCGTTAGCATCACATTAGCCTTACCAGGTGTAGCATAGTGTTATGCTACAGCCTTACCAGGTGTAGCATAGTGTTAGCATCACATTAGCCCTAAAAGGGGAGCATAGCTTTAGCATCACATTAGCCTTACCAGGTGCAGCATAAACTGCACCTGGTAAAGCGCAGTTTATGTGCCTTACCAGTCATGCTAATGTCATGCTGTCATGATATTAGCATGTCATGCTAATGTCTTAGCATGACATTCACCCTATGAGGTGTAGCATAGCGTTAGCCTTACCAGGTGCAGCCTTGCAGCAGCCCGGTTGGAGAACATCACCGCTCTCTCTCTGCTGCAGCTAACTGGACATAGAGCCAAAGCCTGCGTGTAGCTTAGCTCCGCTTCTTTCCAGTCTGCAGGAACACAAACACAGTTACACGGAGGGGAACAAAGCGCCTGAACATATCAGGACCTGAACCCTGGGCCGGACTGTAGACACAACTGAACTCACCTCCGGCTTTGAATAGGCCATTTCCCGTTTCCTTCAGAGCGACGCTCTGCTGCCGACGACTCTGAAACAGAAAGACCCACAGCTCAGATTTACCACCCAGAACCTGACGCCTGAAAGCTCCACAGACTGGTGTTGAACTGACCTGAACTGGTTTTAACTGGTTAAAAATTATGAGACATTGTTGTTTGAGCTGCGTCTTTAAAATGATGTTCAAGATAAATACAAAATAAAATTCAATTAAAAAAAATACAAAAACAATGTAGGCTTTTAAAAGAAATTACATAAAATAATACTAATAAAAAACATTATAAACATCCTGCAAGGCATTAAGGCATTGGTGCTAACACCATCACTAGTTCACAGTATTGGTGTAAACGAGCTTGAACTGGATTAAACTGGGAAGGGTGGAGCAGAGACTGGTGTTACCTCCTTCTCCTCCTCCGTCAGCTCCTTCTCCACCTCCCTCAGGTAGTCATCGTCAAACTCCACTCTGGACGTTTCTTCATCTGAATCCTGAAGGACCTGTCGCGCCTCTTCCTCCTGACGCTCCTCTTCCTCCTGACGCGCCTCTTCCTCCTGACGCGCCTCTTCCTCCTGACGCGCCTCTTCCTCCCCTTCTCCCTCTGTCCGTCGCTCCCTCTCTGCGTCTCCTCTCACCGGTACTCTGTCTGTTTTCGGGAGCTCTTCCTCCTTCTCCTCTTCCTCCTTCGTCTCCAGGCTGTCCCGACAGTCGTAGAAGTCTTCCTCCTCTTCCTCCCTCTGAGCTCCCCGCCTGCTCATCCTGAAGCTGAAACGAGACGTTCACTGACCTTCTGTCAGACAGACACCAGAACCAGTCTAAACCTCCATCATCGTCATCTTGATTCTGAGCGTGACCCCGTGATACAGCAGATCGGAGACCTCAGATCAGCTACATGCTAACAGCTAGCTGCTGAGCTCGCTGTTGCTGGAAAGCCAACCCCGTGACGTCAGCGGAATGAGGCGATGCTGATCAGAGTGACGTCATGGTCACGTCCTCGCAGCAAGGTAAAGATTTAAATATCAAAACCAGATGATTTTACGCCGTCTCACCTGAAAACCCCAAACAGACAGCCGGGTGGGCTGACGTCACTTCCGGGTTCTTCTTTTTCTTTTTTCTGATGGCGGTTGGCAAGAAACCTGATGTTGTCAGTATCGCCACCTACTGACATGAATTTGTACAAACATTCATCCATCAATTTCCCCCCGCCCTTCATTCCAGTGGGGTCAAGAGGCGGGGTCACTCTGGGCAGGTCGCCAGTCCATCATTTTACAAACGTTACCATTTTCTATTAATTATTCCCGAGCAGCTAAGCGCTGCGAAGGCCTATTGTTTCTGTACTGTTTATTATTACGATTCTCCCTCCGAATGAATTGGCTTTTTGGGAGCTTTATCATATTCAAAAACTCACCAAACTTGGCAGAGGCCTTAAGCCTGTTTAAAATTTTCATATTTTAAGGTTGTCGCAAAAATCGCAAGAGAAATGGCTCAACGGCGCCACCTAGAAAATTTCAAAGGACCCTTTGCTATTCACTTACTTTATCCTAGAGACATGAAATTTGGTACACTTGTAGAGCTCCTCAAGACGCTCAAAATTTACAATTAATGTCATAGTGCAAGTATGACAGAAAGTCGGCCATTTTGGATTGAAAGTCCAATTTTGACCCCGTTTTTGCCGTTTACAGCCTTCGTATTTGATCGAACTCCTCTTAGGGATTTCGATTGATCGGCTTCAAACTCGGTCAGTCTGTTCATAAGGCATGTCCCATCTAAAGTTATCAAAACGGTGAGGTTTTGAGTATGCTGAAGGGGGGGTTAGCAAAGTTCGCCATAAAAAATAAACTGTTATATCTCCTACACAGAAACTCAAAGAGGCACCAAAATTACTGTGATTGATCATCATCGGGTGTCCTACAATACCCTATGGTCGAATGATGACATAACTTAGGCCACGCCCCCTGAGAACAGGAAGTGTAATATTTTACTGTGAAAGGTCGCTATCTGACCCCTTTGACCTCATCAACTTGAAACTGTGCCCAGACACAGAAGACAAGTTGGTGTTTTGAGGATTCCAACCCCGACCAGCTTCGATGGAGCAGGTGGGCGTGGCGGCGTGGCGAAGTGACCTGTAACGCCATCGCCATACGTTTGGCTCTCAATTCCACAGTTTCGGGCCCAGCTGCTGCAAACTCATAAGGATGGATCTTCATCCACTCCCCGACAGGAATCCATCACAACATTTGATGGGCGTGACCTCATTTTTCTCTAGCGCCCCCTAGAAAACTGCAAACCAACAACCCAAAAGATCCTTTTTAAGGTGACTCAGTATGATTCCTTATAATAAAAAACAAATTAGAATCGATCTATGGGATATGCAAAACATTTTTATTATATTTTTTGCACAAAATCATTATTAAATAATGAGACTGAAGTTCTGCTCAGTTCTGTCTGTTTTCAGCTATTTCAGTGCTTCTGTCACTTTAAATCCAAATAAGCTGCTGCTGGCCACAACCCCAACTCATCATTTAAACTCACAAGTGAAAATGGCTGCAAACAGATGCGCAATTATACAACCGTAGATCTTTGAAAACCAGAAGTGGAGCCTCCTGCACAACCAACAAGAACACATTTTTGTTGGTTTCTGGATGGTGAGTCAACAACAAAACACCTTCTGTCTTTTCCAGCAGCCACTCTGCAGCGCATACAGTAAGTAGTAAAACCAGCTGACCAAATATGCTGGAGCTCTGCCTGGGTTGCTAGTTGACAAACTAGGTTCAGCTGGGGTTGCGAGGTAACGGTGCAGTGAAATGTGGAATATCAACCAACCGTTAGGAGGTTTTTGAAATTGTCCAGACACCAAAAAAAAAGGTCAGGGTTCCCACTGAATGTCATGAAACAGTTTAAAAACTGACCACCATTCTGCAAGAATAACAAGATAATATTTACAAATATATTAAAAATAATATAGTAGCTGCTGGTTTTTTGAGTCAACTTTTACCATTTTGGGCAACTTTCCATTCTGATGATTAATATTTTTTGAAGGGCAATTGTGTTTACAGAGACGTCACAATCCATTTTACTTATGGTTTCAGTTTTGTTTTTGGTTGTTGTGTTTTTTTTTTGGATTTTTAGAATATCTTCCAGTTCTACTGTAGAGATTCTGTGTGAAATTGAGAGGGCAAACTTGCATTACTTAAACATGCTCTCTAAACAGCAAGATTATCATATATCACAATAATTCATTGGGTAATTTATCATACTGCAATATTTGTTATTTAAAACTGCTATAAAACTCGTCACAAAACAACATAATGGCAAGTTATGCAATAACTTGATGAGGAAAAGGCAAGTTTGTTGCTGAACGTCATTCCCTCTGTCACAAGAAGAACATGTACTAAATTGAAAATTTAAGTTTTCAGAAAACTTAAATTTAATGAGCATTAAATATATTTGTACTCAGGATCAGTGTTTGCTTTAACAATGAATCAAATGTTGTCAGAAAGAGTTTCTGCTTCATTTTGCTCTCGAAATTATGAGGCCCGAGCAGCTAAGTGCTGCGAAGGCATATTGTTTTTGTATTGCTTCAGCTTCTGTGGTGGCTGGCGTCAGGCGGCTGTTGCTAGTACCCCGCGGTGGCCAATAGGCCGGAGCGGTGCTTGGCTGCGAGGGCCGCCCGACGCCGCTTGTGGCTATAATTATTTTTATTTTCCAAAATGAAATTTTAAAAAATTTAATATTTTTACCACCTAAGTTTACCTGAAGCACACTTATTAAATCAAATTGTTTTTTTCTATAACAGCTTTTTAAGTTTTCTAATTCACTGTCATTTCCTGCTTTTAAGTGACTGGAAACACATCGATTCCTGGTTTTAAAAGCTCTTTTCTTTCAAGACCCCGATGATCTAAAATGGTCAGGATGTTCTGATCTTAGTGATCCATTTATTGATTTATTGTAGGAGTTTTATTGGTCACGTTTTATTTTATTGTCCTGTATAGAACTTTGGTCTCTCTGGGTGTGAAGTATAAATAAAGATTTATTGAGCATCATGCTGCTGTGAATGTTTCCATCATGAGTTCCCCTTCATAGGTGATGATGTCACACCTGGCCACACACCACAGTGAAGCATATTAGTAAGCAGAAAATGTTTACAATCTGAAGGTCAGAATCAGTTTCTGTCTTGTTAGAAACACATGGAAACCAGGAAGGAGATCGGATGCTGTCAGCTGCTTGGACCGGGTCGGAAATCAGAAATCAACTCAAAAGATTTCAACACTTTATTTATTTCAATTACATTTTTCAGATTTAATCAAAGTTTGAAAGTTTACTGCTCTGATCAAGCAACTTTCCCCCAGTCGTCCATGTTACGGAGAGGAAGAGCGTCTGGTCTGAGCGATCCAGGAGGCGAAGGCTGACACTCGGGCGTAGCCTCCAGGTTTCTGGGGTCGTGCACAGCCAGCGCCGAATGAGACCACGCCTGTCAGGAGCCAATCAGAGATCAGAGAGCAACTTACAGAGAAAAACAGAGAGAGACAGGAAGACGCACTAACCAATGACAGTCCAGTGTCCGTCCTCCTCACACATCAGTGGACCCCCAGAGTCTCCCTGCAAAGAGACAGAATATTCCCAGTTCAGTGAAAAATTGGAACGATTTCTGACCAATCAGCGGTTAGATCATCTCTGACCCTCAGTCAGTCATTGGACCAGCTTCTTGAACTGGTTCAACTTGTATAGATTCTGCACCGACTGTCGAGGTAAAACCAGGTGAGCCGTTACCTGGCAGCTATCGACTCCGCCCTCAGGGTAACCGGCACACAGCATGCTGGAGGTGATGGTGTACTCAGGTAGGAGGAGCTGGCACTGGGCCTGATCCACCAGAGGAAGCTCCGCCTCCTGAAGGACATCAGGAAGAGAACCTGCAACTCAAACAGGTGAGACAGGTGAGGTGGAGGACAGGTGAGAACACCATATCCCTGTTGGGTTCCGCTGGCTGTTCCCCCATCTAACCTCCTTCTGCTTCTCGGCCCCAGCCGGCGATGAAGCATCTCCTTCCTGCAGTAAAATTCTGACCTTCAGCAGCCAAACACACGGGCTGAACCCACTCTGCAACACACCAAGGGCCACTGTCAGCCTGACAGACGTCACTCTGGGTTTACAGTCACATGCAGGTGTCAGGTGAGTGAACTAGGATTCTGATGTGTAACTCACCGGAGAAGTTGATTGGCTGTCGCAAACGCATCATGGCGATGTCGCCGTGTTTGGTGAAGCGGTCATATTCTCTGTGGATGACGATCCGATCGACTGGTCTGGTCTGAACCTCCGCAGCGTGTATCTGTGACTGAGCGTGAAGGCCCAGGACAGCCGACCAGTAATCCAGGTGGAGGTTCTTCCTGTAGACAGAGAAGAAGAACACGGCACATGGCGCCACCTGCAGGCTGGCGGTTCGCCTGCTGCTAGCCTCGGACGCGTCTCTCACCCGTACACACAGTGCGCCGCCGTCAGCAGCCAGTTATCACCGATCAACGAGGCGCCGCAGACATGGCGGCCCCTCCAATGCAGAGACACCATCCAAGGCCACGCCCCCTTCGCTGCATTGACTCCGCCCACCACTCTGTGCTCACCTGGCAGCGATAGTTAGACTAAACCCAGCGACCCCGACAAGGTCAAGTAGAGGTTAGGTCCAGAATCCAGGTTCTCACCATCTACAGGTTCTCTGCCCTCTGATTGGTCCAAAGTGCTGGCCTCTGATTGGTCCAGAGTCACCTGGCGGCGCCCACAGGCTGTGAACAGCAGCAGTCAGCGCCTGAGGCTGCAGCATTTCTTTGCTTCAGGTTCGGCTTTACTCACGCTGGTTGGTGCAGTTCAGAGACACCACCTTCCCGCTGCTGCACTTCTCACTGAGGAGGTCAGAGGTCAGAGATCAGCAGGTTCCTCTGAACCAAGTCTGGTTCTGCTTCTGCTTACCTCACGCTGGTTTCCAGTGACCCGTTAATGGTTCTGGTTCTGGTCAGGCTGACGGAGACGAACGGAGTGTCCTGAGGCAGAGCTGGTAGCAGAGATGCGTCTCCGGACCTGGAAGCAGTCAAAGCTCAGAACCGGTTCTGGTTACACCGGACCTGTCTGCAGATCGGGGGTACCTGTGTCCCAGGTACTGACAGGTGAAGTCTGACAAGTGAGAGGTCCAGCCGTCAGAACACACGGTGTGCGGAGTGGAGCCGATCTGGATCCGGAGCCGCCTGTAGCCGTTTACCTGCAGCGTGACTGAGACAGCAACAGGTGGGGAGGGGTTAACGCATCATTTCCTGTCTGTGCCAACAACTGAGTCTTGGAGGCGGAGCCTGGGGGAGGTTCTGATTCCTACCAGATCTTCTACCTGATCTTACTGGAACCAGGTCCGAGGCTCGGTTCTGGGATCCCTTGGACCCGACCCCTCCCCAATCTGACCCAGTTACATACCGCAGTTAGCTTCATCAGAACCGTCGGGACAGTCCAGCGTGCCGTCACATTGACTGTTGCCATGGATACAGTCTCCAGTTTCACACTGGAACTGAGCCGCCGCGCACGGAGCTGTTCACAAGCAGACTGTGATCAGAACCTCTAGCCAGGCCGGAACCTGGACCTCTGAGGCGTGCTCTCACCTGGAGACCCCAACGCTACCCCACAGGTGAAGTTGGCTTTGAATCCTCGGCCGGCGCCGCTGCTGTCCGTGAAGAACCGGACCGTCATCTGATTAGACGTGGAGAACAAGTCGTGGGCGGGGCCAGCACTGCCGGTGAGGACAGCTGGGAAGAAACAGCAACAGGTCACCTGAGTTGGAGCAAACCCACCTAGAGACCCGGGACAGGGGCACCTGGAGCCTACCCAGTAAGGTGGAGTTAGACGCCGGCCCATCCCGCACCTCCAGCATGTCATAGGTCGCCTCCACATCAAAGTCCAGGAAGTGGAGCTGAATGTTCTGGCCTGCTGGCGCATGCAGGGTCCACATACCTGCAGAGGTGAGCAGACGGGGGAGGTTAGCAGGTAGACGAGGTTCAGGAACGCAGATAGAAACACAGATGTACTCACAGTTCGCCATGTTTCCGTAGGAAGAGGGGTGGTTCGGAGAACTAAACGTGGAATTTGACTCCCAGAGATCAAAAGGTCCACCACAGTCAGCTTAACCAATCAGAGAGAAGGACGGGGTCAGGTGTGAACATGACCTTCCTCAGGGACAGAGTTCTAGTTGACTGGAACTCAACCAGATTATAGAACGTTGCCTGATGTTTACCCAGCGTGGGGGCGTGGTCTGATGTCTGCCTAACCTGGGGGCGTGGCCTGATGTTTAGCCAGTGTGGAGGCATGGTTTACTTACGTGGTATTGGCGCCACAGTGGTAGGAGGCGGGACATTGGTTGGCTCTGGGGGGGCGAGGCCACAGGGCTCAGGTGTCAGTGTGATGTCATCCAGAGCAATGTCATTGAACATGCCTCCTTTCTTCCAGGCTTCGAACTCCACCTGCACAGGTCACTTGAACAGTCAGGTGACCTCTGACACCGTTTGGCATATGGACTACCTGGTGATGTCACTGACCATGGCATCTGAGGTCAGGCTTAGGGTCACCTGTCCGTAGTTCCAGGTGTCACCATAGTTACCGTCTTTCTGGAACAGCACGATGGCATCAGCGTCTGGCAGTAAGGGACGCAGGACGACTCTGAGACGATGGACGTCCACACCAAACATGTGATACCTGCAGACAGGTGACATGCTCACCTGGTGCCCAGCATGAGACGGCAGATCTTCACATGTTTGTAGTTTACCAAAAGCTCAGGCAGGTGGGCTGAGGGGGCGGAGTCAGAGGGAGGCTCTGCAGCCGGAAGCTCTTCTCCCATTGGCCGGGACTCATAGGAGTGACCAGGTAGAACCCTATCAGAGATCAGCGTTCACCCACCAGAACCTCTACAAAGGGTCCACTCACCTGAACGGGTCCACTCACCTGAGCTATTCCCCAGGGTGTGATCAGAACTCGGACCCGTTGATGAGGGGAAGGTGGCACCGCTGGTTCTGATCCAGTCTCCTTCATCGTCCTGCTGCTGCCTCCAGAAACACACTCCATCTTCGAAGCTGCAGCTGAGCTTCTCAGAGTCTGGAACCAGAAAGCAGCCGGTTCTGACCGAGCCTGACTGTTCTGACTGTAGAATGGGTTTCTGAGCCGGCCCGGTTCTTACTGGACAGCCCAGTGGTGTCGGCGGCTCTGAAAGATGCTTTGAAGCCTGGCAGACTGTTGAAGCTGTCCGATGTAAACTCCACTGTTGATTGGTCAGTCAGCAGCCACACAGTTCCAGGGGGGGTGGAGCCTGAGAGTTCAGCTGCCAATGAGATCACCAGGTTTAAGTTCAACGCGTTGGACACACCGCGAGGCATTCAGGTTCCTCCAGATCCAAGAAGTTCTGACCTGTTAGAACCTTGTTGGGTCCAACTCCTTCGTACAGCCTCAGGACGTTGATGTTCGCCTCCGTCTCAAACTGCTGGAATGTCACCTGGGCCGACAGTCCCCTGCTCACCCTGAACACATCGCAACAGGAAAACATTGGACCTAAAGAGGAAACCGGGTCAGGAAGAACCTGCAGAACCGTATTTGGACCTGATGATCCAGCGGCAGAAGACGTCGTCGTTGTAGGCATCGGACTGCGACGACGTGAAGGATCCACTTGGGGCTTCCAACACAAACTGTCCATCACATGGCGTTGCTATGGAGACATAGGAAGTGACATCACAGTCTTTCATGACCAGAAAACCTTTGATTTTCAGAAACTAATGCATCACATTCCTGCTAAAACCCTCCAGGGCAAATCAACCAATCACAGCAGCCCGCTGTTACTTGAGAAAGCACCTAGCAGTTAACAGGTCCTTGAACGCCACACGACCTTCCCCAAATAACCCCGGCACTGCTTTGATTGGTTTATTTGTCCTTCTGAATTCTTCACTGACCGCAGGAGAAGGAAGACTCATCAGACGAGTCCAAACAGTGGGGTACTCCATCACAGAACCAGTCACTCGGAATACAACCGGACCCGTCAGAACAAGCAATCTGACCAGGAAGACACGTCACTGGAAAACACAGACCCATTAGAGACAGACCCATCAGAACCCGACCAGAACCATCAAAAACCCAATTAGAACTGTTTTCTCCTCCTACTAATCCCTGCTGTTTTTTTTGGTTTTGATCTGTATGGGCCTCTCTATGAGCTGCCACCTTATCGTGGTTGAAGGGTTTGGGTGTCCCTGTGATCCTCAGAGCTATGCTATCTGGGGCTTCATGCACCTGGTAGGGTCACTCAAGGATAGAGTATACAAGCGGCTGAAATGGGTTTTCTCGATAGGGTGACTGGGCTCTCCCTTAGAGATAGGGTGAGTAGCTTGGCCATCCGGATGGACTCAGAGTAGAGCCGCTGCTCCTTCACGTCGAGAGAAGCCAGTAGAGCCATCCTGCCTCCCTGGTAAAGTGTTCTGGGCACATCCCACCGGGAGGAGGCCCCAGGGAAGACCCAGACTATATTTCTCAGCTGGCCTGGGAATGCATTGAGATTCCCACTGAAGAGCTGGAACAAGTCACTGGGGAGAGGGAAGTCTGGGCGACCCGACCCCAGATAAGCAAAAGAAAATGGACTGACGGACGCAAGCACACACGCATGCGATTTTATGGTTTAAGGAAACACAGCTAATCACTCGGACCAATATACCCAAACAGGTTTATGAGTTTGATTGAACCCACTCAGGTTCTGTACCCGATCAGACCTCGGTCTGCAGAGAGCTCAGAGAAACTGGAGGAAGGATCAGATGGATCAGTCAGTGTTAGATTGTCCAGAACCTGCAGGTTGACTTTTTACCAGAACCTGGGACTTCTTTACTGGAAGGAAAACTCACCTGCTGCAGGCTTGTTGCCGGTTGTTGCAGGCGTGTTGCCGGTTGTTGCAGGCTTGTTGCCGGTTGTTGCAGGCGTGTTGCCGGTTGTTGCAGGCGTGTTGCCGGTTGTTGCAGGCGTGTTGCCGGTTGCAGTAGGTGTTGTCTTCTCAGGTTTCTCTGCAGGAACACAGAGAGCTGCCTGTTGGTTGGAGGAAGTGAAACCGGATTAACAGAGATGATCCAGTTAAGACTGACTGGATTAACTCCTTATTGATCAACATTCATCAATAACAATCAATAAGGATTCTTATTGATAACTATTGATAATTATTGATCTGATTCACTCCATCAGTCCTCTCGTCAAACCATTAGCCAGATCGACTGGGAGCTCCAGAAAGCTTCACTGGTTTCCAGTTCTTCCAGTTTAAAAACTTCTTCTTGTCATCCTTTCCTGGCTGCTACTGGTTCGGTTCAGGTTCTGTTTCTGGTTCCTACTTCTTGCTGTCGGTTCCCGTTGGATCAACTTACGGTGGACATTAGCTGAACGTTTCTTTCTGAATGGCCAGATTAAATCTAATCTAACCCAAAGTTCTGCTCATGATGTCACATCCTGATCAGTGGTCAGGATGTGACATCACAGACTTACCTGTAATCTGGATGCTGTTGGTGTCAATCACCAAGGCCCGGTCCCCAGCCACATTAAGCCCCGCCCTCAACTGCTGCTCCACCTCTTCGGTGTCAATCAGCTGACTGAACCTCAGGTCAAAGGTCACCACCACGCTGCCCGGACTGGAGGGCAGAGCCAAGCAGATGATTAATAATCACAGTGATTGAAATGATCGATGACCAATGAATTTGTCCAGTTCCTCATTTCCTGTTCTAATTTCTTTCTGATGAGTAGCTGAAATTATTCTGGATTCATTCTCTGGACGTGTTAGAAACTCAGTCTGAAAATGTTCCAAGTTCCCTTCGAAAGGAGGTCAGATTAGTTTCAAACATTTATCTTGATGATGTCATAGTTTCAGCCATGTTTACCCGTCCACCTGGAATCCATAGCTACAATGCGGACTACAAAACCCACAAACCTCCTGGCTACACTCATCTCTCTGCTGGGTTTTCTTCTTCAGATGCTTTGGCTTTCCAAAATTATGTTTTCTACTGTGGTATTAAATGTTATTTACATGTATTACATGTTATTTACAAGTATTAAATGGTATTTTGTAAATTGTGTATTTCTTTCTGCTCTGGTGTCTATACCCATCTCCTGATCTCCTGCCTTGAATTATTTCTGTGTTTCACAGATCATCACTTTAGGGAAGACCAGCCATCTGTTGGACCGCTTCCTGCAGTCACCATGAAAACGCTGCCATTCTGCTCCCATACTTTGCTGCTCAGGTTGGTTAGTTTGTTGTAAATGTGAGATTTTATTCTGCTGAAATGGAACAGATTGTTTCCATCTGTTCCTGTTTAAAACATTAAATACATAAATATCAGAAGCTGTTTCATTTGTTGATCAGTGATTGATCACTGATTGACTAATCAATTAGTGAATCAAACCTGAAATATTAAAGAAGAGCTCTTTGAGGTTAATCAAAGTGATTAACTGATTGAGCAGTGATTGGTCAGTGATTGGTCAGTGAGTCTTCAGTGATTGACTGGTCAGTGATTGGTCATAGGTCTAACCTGAAGTCTCGGACCCAACAGAACTGGTAGAACCGCCGCAAGTTGCTGATGCTGAACGCCTCATAAACCTGTCAACCAATCAGAAGCCAGACTGCCGTCAGCTGACCTCTCCTGAATTTGAACAAAACTTCAAGGTTTTTATGTTAAAAGCCGACCTTATAGCAGGATGCTGTCTCCAGCATTTCAGAATAAAAGCCCCTGCTAAGTGTTCCTGTGACCCTTCACAATAAAAGCCTCACCAGCTGCTGAAGGTCAAAGGCCAGGGATTTGAACCGGTGACTGCTGGAGTTTCTGAGCTCGTCAGAAAACTCGACTCCTGCTGTGATCACCAACCGACCCGACAGCTGCACGGCTTCATCTGCACCTGAACGCATAATCATCAGCACTGAACCTACAGTCACATGAGTGAAACCAGAACTCTTACCTTCAGAAGTCAGGGTGAGCCAAGAAACGACACAGAGGCCAACGCAGCAGAGGAAGAGGAGGGACGAGACGACGAGGAGGACGACCTCCAAAGTGGACAGGCGGCGAGACATCCTGAATAGTTCACTTTAGATAAAATCAGTTCAGTTCAGATAGAACCAGTTCAGTTTAGATAGAATCAGTTCAGTTCAGCTGAATTAAGTTCAGTGCATAAGGTTGGATCACAATGATGTTTTTTTTTTCTTATATTAGAACAATTTGCACTTTGAACAGGAAATATTTGAAGCAACAATAATTTAGCCAGAAATTATCCGGCTGATATCTCCCAGCATGCTCTCTGGCTAAAGCTACACAAACACTGCGGTAAAATAATTCAATCATTAATTCAATCATTAATTACTTTGAAATTATTATTCTGGTTTGAAATAGCAATAAAGAGAAATGATTTATTTGTGTATATTTACCCGTCCACTTTATTGCTTCCTCAGTATGAAGCAATAAATGTATAATTTCTATAAAAATAGCTTAAAAAATATTAGAAAAAAAATATCTGAAAACTTTCTCTGATAAAATTTAAAATGTAAAACATCAAATCATTTTATTTTCAGAGCCAAGAAATCAAACGTGAAATATTCAAGAAGAGCTTGGTGCGATTAAAGACCGTTTTATCCAACCCAGAACCAGAACCAGTTACCTGAAGCGCTCCGTTCAGCTCCTGGTCCCGCTGAAAGGAGGAAGCGGTTCTGATCCGATCCTCTAATCACATCTTTTATATCGATCCCTGTTGGACCGCTTCCTGCAGTCGACAGAAATCGGCTCCATTCATTTCTCGCCAGATATCAGTGCAGCTGATAACGGGGGAGCCAGCGGCGGGCCGACTCCATCGGCCCGGTTTCGGTTCTGCAGAATCATTCATGACCAGCATCAATTGTTCTTGATGTTGCTGCTAGCAGCTGACGTCAGCAGCTGCAGCTGGTTTATCTCAATCTAAAGTCCAGCACCTGTAAAGCTGTCAGCCAATCAGGCCCCGCCCACACCTGGCCGCGCTGCAGGAAGCTCACCTGTGGCGCCGCCACATGATTTTATCAGGAATAAACCTGATAAAACTGACTGCTGCTGATTAGTGGCTGTTTTTCTCCGGATCGGCTTATTGATCGTTACCTGCCACCCAGAAACACCTGAGGGCTCACCTGCAGAGTCCACTCCATCAGGTCGGGTCAGAACATGGCGGGTCATCAAAACATTTTGGCCAGAGATGACTTAGAACCCAAACAGGTCTCCGAGATCCAAACCCACAGCAGCAGAACTAGCTGGAGTTCCAGTGTGATGGTTCTGACATCCAGCCGGTCCGGCCCGGTATCAGTGTCATATGAAACCTGCAGAATCTCTGATCCAAAACATCAAATGTCTCCGGTTCTGGTCCAAATGGACCTTCAGTGCATCACAAACATTTTTATATGAAACCTAGAAGTTGAGAAAATACAACCAGTCGAGACACAGCGCTTTGTTTCTGAGTTTATTCCAAAAAGCCCAGACTCTTATTCTGAAGGGCACTTCCTGTTTGCTTTATGACACAGCATGATTCAAACGTCACAAACACGAATTTATCGAGCAACACGTTTCAGAGAAGAAGAAAAATGCTTCACGTCCAAAACCGACAAACTTGAAGAGGAAGAAATCAGACGAGAGACCATGTTGGACGGACAACCTGGTGACCCCAGCTGGTGACCCCACCCGGATCCAGAAGGTTGCACGTTGAAACCCTCTTAACCTTCAATCGGTTGGAGATCCAGAGTTTGTAGAATGGATCAGACAGGACCAGGCTGGCTTAACGGCAACTCTTTCCTTTTTTGGCTTTAGTCTCTGGGAGAGGAGCTGGAGATGTGTGGAGATGAGATGAACTCAATGTGAGTTCATGGCTGCTCTACTGATCTTCACCGGGTCACTCATCAGGAGAGCTGGTAGATGTTGTTCATCGCCGGCTCCCTCTCCTCTCCTTCGCCATCGTCATGGCGATCTGCCAGCATGAGAACAAGAAGTGAAGCGTCCTTCAGTTTTATGAAGGACGCAAGCGGCTTTAGAAACTCTTACCCTGCTCTTCCTCTTTTCTCTTCAGTGTTCCACCTTGGACCTCATCCTCCTCGTCCTCCTCCTCCTCCTCTTCTTCTGCTCTGCATTCATCAATGTTTTCATACATCACCTGAGGAGAGAAGAAGAGTGGAACAATGAAGCCACAGCCCGTCAGACGACGAGGTTCTCAGATAACCCTCAGCTTCCTCACCTGGTCACTGTGACGCGGCAACATGTCACTGGTCAGGGGGAGGAGTCTTTCGATGAGCTGACCAATGGTTTTAAAGGTGGGTCTGTGGGTGGGCTCCCCACTCCAGCAGAGCTTCATCAGGTGATACCTGAGAGGAAACCAGCTTCGTTACGGTTCCTGCACCAAGATATCTCCTGAAAAGTGAGCATCACCTTCAGAGAAATCCCCATCAAATCAGCATCGTTGTGTCTACCACTAGGTGGTGCATGAGAGCAATACTGATTGTCGAGGGGAGAGGAAATGAGATGGAGGGAAGGAATACCTGATGCTGCTGAGCAAGTTAAGAGTAAAAGCTGTAAAGAAGAGTTCTTTGTTTACTCGTGCTTTTATCGCGTCCCGGCTTCCAAACATAACAAGCATGAAGAAGATTTTTCTCACATTTCATTCGGAGCGAAATCCGGCTGCTCCATGTGGTGGCCATCTTTGATCATCTTGTAGAAGTTGGTATCCACAACAACGTTTGGGTACGGACTCTTACCTGAACAGAGGAACACAGGAAGTGATTCAAAGATGCTCAGGTGCTTGACCCTTTCCTCAGTGAGGTTCAAATCATTGTTTCCGGTTACCCAGAGAGAAGATCTCCCAGAGCAGGACCCCGTAGGACCAGACGTCACTCTGAACTGTGTATAGACACTGAAAGATGCTCTCTGGAGCCATCCACTTCACCGGCAGCCGGGCCTGTCAAAATAAAACACCAAATTTCAAGCTAAAGTTCCCTTTGGAACCGAGGAATCAGTCTGCGTTGAGTTAAACTACTGACATTTCCCTGAACGATGTAGCTGTCGTCGTTTTGAATGTCTCGAGCCAAACCGAAGTCACAGATCTTTGCCACCCGACAGTCGGTCAGCAGGACGTTCCTCGCCGCCACGTCTCTGTGGATGCACTGGACCAACAACAGGTGAGAGATACAGGTCAGAGGACTTTCAGCATTTCAAACACATTCTGCCTCATCCTCACGCTGTTGCAGCTCTTAAACCGGATCTAGGACTGGACTGGGAACCAGGCTTGGCTGGATTCTGGTTCTGAGACATTCCTGAACTGATTTATTGCGTGTGTATGTCGGGGTGTGTTCTCACATTTCTGGAGGACAGGAAGTCCAATCCCTGAGCCACGTGGTAGGAAAACCTCAGGAGGTCACAGAGGGACAGGCTCACCATGTGCTCACCTGACAGAGAAGCCCAGGTGAGCTCAGGTGAAAGTGCAGGTGAAAGCAGGTGCATCCAGGTGGGCTCAGTCTTACCTGGCTCATTTGGACCTGGAATCAGGGCCGGTTGCATCTCCTGGTACTCTGACCAGCACGAGATCCCACTGTCACTGCAGGTCACATGATTGGATGTTATGATTCACCTGACCAGGTCTTACAGGTGGAGAGACACTAACTAGCAGGGACTCATCAGCAGATTTAAATAGTAAAAATCTGACTTTAAATCATCTGACAGCTTGGCTGTTTTGACGACCAGACTAACTGGAAACCCCAGAAAGAGCAGATGACCTCTGACCTCCGTAGCCTTTCCGGCTGTCCTGTCAAGTTCTTATAGAAGACCTCATCTCCAACCTCGTCTATGGTGATCATGGACGCCATGAAGTCTGGCGCGTGAGTCCGTAGGAAGTTGAGTAGGTCGCCATGGCTACAGTACTCTGTGATCATTAGCATGGGGCCTGTCGGGGTCAAAGGTTAAGAGATATGAGTCAAAGTGTTTTAGTTAATAACAAACATGAAAGAATCAATAAACCAGTGTGCAGAGCCTTCATCTGAAACCTGAAGTGTCTCTTGGATGTTCTGATGAACATCGGCAGGCGACACAAACCCAGACAGAGAACATGTCCACACATGGACGTCGCACACCTGAGAGCCGTTGTGATACCTCTCAGGTCCTCTTCAGACTGGGTCAAGATTGGTTATATGATTTCTGAACAGTTTACATTAGATCTAACCTGAACTAAGACTGGTTCTGGGGAGTCTTAAACTTGGTGAGTGACTCACCAGAACTGAACTAACTGAAACTGGTCTAGTTGGACCAGATGTCCGCCGGTAATGGTTTAGACCAGTAACACACCAGTTTCTGGCTGGTTTAGATCAGAGGGGTTCAGACTTTCTCTGGTTCCTGACTGGTTCTGGAATAACTCACAGCCTCCTCCCACAGCCCAAAGGCACAACAGTTCGGCTAATTGGTGTCTGTGTTTGTGTGCGTGGTTGTCTGTCCTGTGATGGACTCTAGACCTGTCCAATGCCACTCAACCCAAACGCAGCTTGAGACAAACTCCACCGATGGACCAGAGCGTTTACATGATACATGGACGGCCATTAAAACCTAGACTAATGCTTAAGAATTTAAGACCGATTACCTCCTTGCGTGCACGCGCCCAGCAGGTTAACAATGTTGTCATGGTAACCAAGATGGCTGAGGATCTTCAGCTCTGACATCAGAGCCTCCCGTTCCTCGGAGTGAGCGCTGGCTGCAAATGAGCACATGAAACTCAGGTGTTTGGTCGCGTGGCAGCCGGGTGCTGACTGTGGAGGCGGGACCACTCACGTTTGAGCATCTTGACAGCAACTCTGGTGGCCTTGTTTTCTGTTCCCAGGCCGTACGCCGTCGCCTCAACAACCTTTCCAAACGCCCCCGAGCCCAGGACGCCCCCTGAAGGACAAAGAGCAAGGACACAGTGAAAAGATGGGAGAGGAAGGTTGAGTACGGCTACACAGAGGTCAAAGGTCCCATTGATACCAAGTCGCAGTTTATCTCGAGGAAACTCCCACTTCTGGTTGTATGGCAGCTGGGTGGGGTCAATGAAGGTGTAGTTGTTGCCATCGTTACTCTCAATGATCTTCCACAGAATTTCATACCTTGGTTTCTAGTTGAAGAGAAGGAGACGGTTTGTCTGTGGTTCTGGTTCCTGTCACCCGCAAAGGACACCAGAACCTGTAATCTCCGGCCCCAGAGGAACTAACCTGTCTGCACTTGTAGAACACAATCAACAGCAGCAGGAGGAGGACGGAGGAGACGCTCAGCGCTCCAATCAAAGCTGGAGTGAAGACGGTGCGAAGTCCTGTGGAACCTGAACGCAGCACCGGATGGACAAAGTTAGCAACTGCTCAGTTTTGGAGGCAGGAGTCAGTTTTAAACCTAATCTGGATTTAGAGACTGAATCCTAATCTGCTGTTAATCCTAATCTGCTCCTTCAGATGAGCCAAGCCGGCCCAGGACACTCTGGTGCCAAGATCAGAGATCTGAGGTTTTCTGAAAAACCTCAGATTTCTGAGGTTTTTCACGTTGGGTTCCTCTGATACTCACGATGAACAAACACTTGATGAGACTCGCCCACCCGGTTGTACGCCAAACACATGACTGTGACATCATCGTCAGGGCTGGACAGAGGGAAGAATGTCCTCACCTCCTCCCCATCCTCTGAGGTTGCAGCAGATGGAGACACCATGTGGTTGGAACTGGGATCACACCTGCAGGAGATCAGAGCTTCATCTTGGCTGCAGATGTTTCTGACCAAAACTTCCCAACAACAACAAATAAAACTTCATGTTCTTCAAGTGCCACTGGCTGCAGCGCCCCCTTCAGGACACACCATGCAGTGCCTGTAGGGGGCACTGGCAGCTCAATTCACATACCTGTCCACCTGGGTGCAGACGGACCAGAGGACCGTGGGCCGGGGGTAACCAGAACCGCTGCACATCAGGGACTGGTTCTGCTGCGTGACGCTGACAGTCGGAGAACCTGCAGGGTTTGGATCAGATCGAACGGTTCACCACCACAAAAAACCCAAAGAGACAATAGGACGTAGAAAAGGTGGAACTGGTTCTTACGGTAGATCCGGAGGTCCACATCCTGCGACCCGTTAAAGAACAAGTTAGAAAAATTAAAAGAATATCGACCGCCATCTTCTTGACGAACTCGCCGCACCAGAAGGTTGGCCTCTGACCTGTTCCAACAATAATGCCACCTTAAAACAAGTCACAGACCTTATATGCATACCACCTTAAAAAGCAACTAAATGTGACCAAAAATATCTCCTTCAGTCATTAAATAAAATCCCTTCTTAGCACTGAAACCTCCATGGCTGCACTAAAATACCACATTAACTCTCATCAACAATGTCAAGTTGAAATACCAGCAATACCACCTTAAAACACATTTCCAGAACCACCAACGTAAAGTGGTTCCAAACATTCCAACTTAACAAACATAAATGTTAAAAGAGCTTCACTAAAAACATTGTCACATGATTAAGGTGGTATGTAGCTATTGTTTTAAAGGTGGTATGGAAGGTTAGGTTTATTTTAAATTTGTTAAGGTGGTCAGACTGAAATATTGGTAGGCTATTTTTAAGGTGGTAGGTTTGTGGCTCTATAATGACTGCAGTAGTTGTTAAGGTGACAGCGCAGCTGGCTTTTTTTTCATATACTGTTCAATTTTAAAGGTGGTGTGGAAGTTGTATTCCTTAAGGTGGTATTGATGATTATTGGACTTTCCAAGGTGGTAGTGCAGCCGGTGTGGGTAGTTAAGGTAGTATTGTCAGGTTTATGGAGGTGTGACTAGCATGGTTTCTTTATTTGTGGGTTTCGAGTGGAATTGTTGTTTTGCAGAGTTTTAAGGTGGAATGGTTGGAATACCTGTTGGCAGTAGCAGTGTAGCTTCTCTCATACACACTGCTGCCATCATTGTTTACGTGTTCCGGTGTCGTCCAGTGATGCTGTCTGATTGGAGGATAGCCCTCCATGACGAAGGTCAGGGTCAGGTCTCCACCTTCGAACACTTCCACCGTCCTGCAGCCGCTGCCTCTGCTCCCGTTAAACACCAGTTCTCTCTGCAGCTCCTCCGAACCGAAGCTGACGTTAGCCGCTGGCTCCCCAGTCGTCTCCTCCCTGCTGAAGTTGCCAGGCAGATCATCGGAGACCTGCTGGGTGTTGGCAGTCTGAAGGTAGATCCTCAGGTAAGGGTGATCTGATGAAGAGGAGGAAGAGAAGACAGCGTGAAGGTTTTCTCCAGATGTCTGGTCCGGTTTCATGGACCAGACATGAGACTGGTCCATCGCCTTGATATTGACTGATTACTAACCCAATACGGTCAGGTGGGTGGTTGCCTTGGCAACCCCAGCTCTGCCATAAGCAGCACAGGTGTACAGACCGCTGTGTTGACGGTTGACAGCAGAGACGGTCAGAGTGCTGCTGATGTGAAAGTACCCATTGATGTAGGACTTGGTTTCACTGACTGCCAGGTCCTAAAACAACCAAACTACCTGTTAGAGGCAGACAGGTGAGCCAGTCAGGACCAAAGAGACACAGGTGAACTCTGGCTGCTCACCTTTGTGTGTGGGTAAGTCCAGGCGATGGTGTAGCTGTGAGAAGGGTTGCTGCTCTGACAGGTGACGGTAAACGGTTCTCCTGGTAGACGGATCCACTCACCCTGGCTCACAGCGATGGAGGGAGGAGGGTCCACTGCAGACAGATTGGTAGTGGGTGAGGCAGAGACTCGTTGGTACCAGACAGGTAGACAGACAGGTGTGTAGAGAGACAGGTGTCTTACTGGGAGCCACCATCAGGGCAAACGGCTCTGATCGGAACTCTCGCCCATTCCTCCAACCTGAACAGGCGTATTGGCCTTTGAAGGACATCCTCACATGTTTGATCAAGGCTCCCTTTTGAGGGTCTAAGGTGACGTTCATACCTGGGGGCAGGCCCCGCCCCCTACCCCCACCCTCTGATTGGAGGGTGAGATCTGTGACAGCTGGGTCAGTCAGCAGACACTTGTACAGGAAGTCGTCACCCTCTTTAGGATAGCTAGATGTGTAGCGAGGCGTGACAAACACAGCAGAGTTGTTACCTGGATCTGACAGAGGAGAATGTTGGGAAATGAGGTAATGTCAGTGATGTCATTGAGGTAAACAGGAAGGTCACCGGGCCTGCTTACCTTTGACATACAGGTGTATCCAGGTGTTCAGGTGTTCCAGGCTCTGGTTGGCGTACCTGCAATGGTACGTACCAGTGTGTCTGAGAGACACACTTTTGATCTGCAAGGTGTTCTGACAATTCCTCGGTAATGGACGAAACGCAGTGGTGGATATGTTCACCAACCCATCACCAAGGCAACTAAGCTGGACCTCAGAGCCGGCAGTCAGAACGACCGCTGACCGGTTTGGTTGGAAGATTGAGTTTAATTGGATCAGTGTTGGTCCTGGAGGTTCTGAAACGAGAAGACACGACAAATTCCGGTAAACCAACACCTGAAACAGGTAAAGTGCATACTTGAGGACACCAAGTGGTGCTCAACACCAGGTGGTGCTCACAAGTCAGAACCTGTTGGACACCCGCCGCGCTTGGCAGGTTCAGATAAACCTCGTCTATGCTGACCCTTAAACAGACAGGTGTGTGAACACACAGGTGTTGAGTTAATCATAAACAGGAAGCCAAAGTTGCAGCAAAAATGTCAAATTTTATTTAAAATCAGAGGAACAGAGCAATTAAAGCCCAAAGCAATTTAGAGCTTGAACAGTTAGTTTTACAGTTTAAAACATCACATTAATCAATTCATTAATTATTAAACGCAAAGGCTAATTGGTTAATTAAGAAATTTGCTCAGCCTTGAGAAGAACATTAGATTCAACTGCATGTCTGATTTCAAAGAATCTGATTGGTGTCATGGAGAGACAGAGATCTGATTGGCTGGTTGTGGGCAGTCGGAGGATCTCATTGGCCGAGAGCGGTGGGTTTCTTGTTGATTTCCTGCAGCTGGGTGGCGATGCGTGACGTCTGCAGTAGTAAAGCCTGGTGGTTCTCCACCAGCAGGTTCTGGTGCCGGGCCAGGTTCTGCAGGTTCTGGATTTGCAGGGAGCCCTGAGGGTGAGTCCAGGTGAGTTCAATCAGAATGAATCAGAACCAATCATGAGCAGAAGGTTCTTGTCGGTCCTCATCTATGGGACCAGTTCCAAGCTGACCCAGAAATCTGATCCAGATGTTCTGGAGGTTAGCTAAAGCTAAAGCTAATAGATTAAATAAAAATGTCTCATAAACTAGACAACAAGCTTAACCGGACCTAGCTGAGCTAAACTGGGCTACCTGGGCTGACTGGGCTGGACGTACCTGGTTGACTAGAAGGCTGAGCTGCTGCACAACCTGGGCTTGGTGCTTGGCCTGCTCCTCCTGGACTTCAACCAACCGGGTCAGCCGCTCCAGAACCTGTGCTCCCCAAATGTCGCCCTGCTCCTGGTTCTGAACCAGTTCTGAGATCCTCGGGGCAGCAGGGTCGAGCCCTGGTTGGTCGGGAGTCTGGGCGGCGCCCATCGTCATGGCAGCGGGTCGGCGGTCACCTGCAGCGAAGATGACCATGAAACTTTACAGAGTCCGGCTCTGTTAGTCTCCTGGTCAGAAACCATGACGACAGTTTCCAGGTGAGGGCAGCTCAGGTGAGTTTAGACATTCAGAAACTACAAATATTTCATGAAACCAAAAGATGCAGAGAGATCAATGGAAACGCAAAAATGAGACTTCATTTGAAAACCAAAGCCTGCGCAGCCCGACCTGAAAGCATGAACCAGTTCTCTGGAACGGCCACCAAAGGGCAGCAGTGAGTTCAGGCAGGACAGTGAAAGAAGTTGGATAAAAACAAAAAGTGATTGAGGCCCAATGGTTTCTGGGAGGAAAGAGAGGTTTGAGGTTCTACCGCAAGATCTGCTGCTGCAAAAACCTCGACTGCAACAGCAATGCTCACAACACACACACACACACACACACACACACACACACACACACACACACACACACACCCCTATGTGTGTGTGTGTGTGTGTGTGTGTATCTTTATGTATGCAGGTTGTAAAAGTATTCATACCCCTTGAACTTTTCTATATTTTGTCATAAACACATTTCACTGGAATTTAATATGAAATATCTACACAAAGTGTTTTATAAGTAGAAATGATTCATGATTCAAAATATTTTTTACAAATAAAAACTGAAAAGTGCAGAAAACGTATTTACCCCTGCTTTTCTCAGAGGTCAACCAGTTGCCTTCAGAAGTTGCCTGATGATTCCTAATGACTAAGTAGAGTTCAGATGTGAGTAATCTAATCTAATCCCAGTGTTATTCCAGCTGATTTGGAGCAAACGGCATCATGGAGGAGCAAGCAGAGCGCTCTGGAAGTCCAAAGGAGGCTGATGCTTTGAACGTCTCACCGTCCAATCAGAAACCAAAGAGTCTGCTCCGGTGGAACCAAAGCACAGCCTAGTCAAAGTCCAGCTAAACTTCCAGGCTGAACAAGGAGAGCTCTGATCAGATGGAGATAAACCGAGATGGAGACTCTGGACCAGATGATCCGCAGCAACGAGGTCGACAATCAGAAGAAGGCTTCAATTAAAGGAAGCTATCAGAAGTGATGTTAAAAGTTAGCTGTGTGATGGAAAGATTACAATACAGTCACATCTGTTAGTCATGTCATATGAAATGCTTGTGAACTCTCACCAAAAGAACTATTTGGGTTACATGCACAAGGTTGGAAGTTTGTTATCCACAGCTGCCTTCTCTTATCCTTGCATAAAGTCCATGTTTTGTCTCTTCCTGGCAGAGCTTTGCATCCAGTCTGGCTTGATTATTGGTTGTCTTATGAGCTCTCTGAGTTGTGCACAATTCATGAATGAACCTGATTGACTGATTCTACCTGAACAGTGCTTGGAAAAAGTTTTTTTTTTTTTTCCACGACAGACGTGAGCAGTTTGCTATGTTGGATTCAGCAAACGTAAGGAAGGAGGATTTTTGGTCAGACCAGAACTAAACTGAACTTTGTGATCTGAATGCAAAACGCTGAACATCCCTCTGAATGACATGGATATGGTCGGGTTCTGGTTAGGTTCTGGTCTCCGGTGTGAGTGTGTGTGTGGCTGTGTTGCGGGTTCAGCCTGCAGGATCCTCCAGGCAGCAGATGTTTCCTGTTTGGATCAGAGCCGCCTCCAGTGAACAGATCTGCTGCAGAACTTCATGTGACCGTTGGAGACGTCATCGGGTTTCATAATCTGCGAAAAGCTGAACTGAAACTGCACACACACACGGACACTCTGGCAGCGTGTCGCCATGTTGGAATGGACCCAAAGTTCACTGAAGCTCCTCAGGCCCGGTTGAATCTGCTGATCCCACAGTGTTTAACCTGGACAGCTGGTCCGGATTTGGTTTTGGTCCAGTTAGGGGCTCAAGTTAAGTGAAGTTTATTTGTAAAGCACATTTAAGCAGCAAAGCTCTTGAAGATGATTTACATCATAAAATATTAAACTGTCATCTACAAATTTTCAATTTGATCAATAATCATCATCGGAATCTTCAAGAATAAAAATCAATTATATTGATCAAAGTTTCTAAAGTAACTGACCAGCTGGGTTTTCTAGATTTAAAGGAACTCGGGGTTTCAGCTATTTTTTTCAGTTTTCTGGAAGTTTGTTCCAGATCTGTGATGTGTAGAAGCTGAATGCTGCTTCTCCATGTTCTGCTCTGCAACAGAACCAGAACCAGCAGGTTGATCCAGCAGCAGCATCAGATCTTTAATTTGTTCAGTGATTTCTAAACGACCACCAGTATTTGAAATCTCTTCTCACAGAGAAGGAACGTAGAACTGGATGCTGTGCTGTATCTTCCTGGTTTTAGTCTGAACTTCAGCAGCAGCGTTCTGGATCGGCAGCGTTCTGGATCGGTAGCGTTCTGGATCAGCACCGTTCTGGATCAGCACCGTTCTGGATCAGCACCGTTCTGGATCGGCAGCGTTCTGGATCAGCACCGTTCTGGATCAGCACTGTCCTGGATCAGCACTGTTCTGGATCAGCAGCGTTCTGGATCAGCACCGTTCTGCATCAGCAGCGTTCTGGATCAGCACCGTTCTGCATCGGCAGCGTTCTGGATCGGCAGCGTTCTGGATCGGCACCGTTCTGGATCGGTAGCGTTCTGGATCAGCACCGTTCTGGATCAGCACCGTTCTGGATCGGCACCGTTCTGGATCGGCACCGTTCTGGATCGGCACCGTTCTGGATCAGCACTGTTCTGGATCGGCAGCGTTCTGGATCAGCACTGTTCTGGATCAGCACTGTTCTGGATCAGCAGCGTTCTGGATCAGCACCGTTCTGCATCGGCAGCGTTCTGGATCGGCAGCGTTCTGGATCAGCACCCGTTCTGCATCGGCAGCGTTCTGGATCGGCAGCGTTCTGGATCAGCATTGTTCTGTATCGGCAGCGTTCTGGATCAGCAGCGTTCTGGATCAGCACCGTTCTGCATCGGCAGCGTTCTGGATCGGCAGCGTTCTGGATCGGCAGCGTTCTGGATCATCGATTTGTTAGTCAGACCTGTGAAGACGCTGCTGCAGGCATCGGTGCCACTTCAGAGAAACGCCTGGATGAGTTTCTCTGATGGTGAGACATCAGTCCTCTGATCCTGGAAACGTTCTTCAGCTGATAGAAGAACGTTGCACTTTGGAACCGTCTTTATGTGGCTCTGAAGGGTCAGGTCAGAGTTCAGAGGTCATCCTGATTTCTAGTTTCCAGCTGGAGCAACTGAATCTGTTCAATAACTCTAAATATATAAATCTAGATCAACTCTAGTTCTATCAATCTAGATCTATAGCTCTAGACATATTAATCTAGATCTATGTCTGTGGATCTGTAACTCTTTTTTCCAAAGATGCTGCATCCTCTCATGTTTCTGTTCAGTGATTGGACGGTTTTGTTCTGGTTCTTTCTGATCTGCACAATCAGAAGTTTCCATGGAGACAGAGGCAGGTTAATCCCCCACCCCCACCCCCACCCCCCCACCCCCAACTGCAGGTGGATCCACCAGCAGTGGGCGCTCTCTGCCCTCCTCTTCCTCTATGAGGCTTTCAGGTCAGTTCCTGACTCCAGGTCTTTGTTGCATTTGGATCAGATCATCCGGTGAAGCTGATCACTGGATGGTGATCCAGTGCTCTAGAACCTGAACACTGGCCCTGGCACCAGGTTTCTGACCCGGTTCAGGCCCATGGGTCGGGAGCGGCGCTGAGCTGATGCAGGTCCTATTGTCCCACTTCTGTTTTGGGAGAAAGTTCTGCAGTTGGTTTCAGATCGGAGGGAGAAGTGAAGAAACCTCAGAGAGCCAGGAAACACATTCGACCACAAACCGCACACACACACACACACACACACACACACACACACACACAGAGACACCACACACACACACACACACACACACACACACACGGACCCCCCCATTGATTCTCCCACTTCCTCCTCTGACTTCTTCTTTGGTCTGAACTCTGCGGCACGTTAAAGGAACCGGTTACCACGCCGACATGTTTACACCCAACTCTCTGGTATTTATAGGTCCAACTGAGGAGGAGTGGGGGCCGAGGGGGTCGGCTACAGAACCACTGGTGATGGGTCGGTACCAACAGTCCGGAACAGGAGCGACTTCAGGCTGAACGTGGAGCAGATTGGGTCCAGTTCATTTTCAGGGATCCGGTTCCATCTTGGTCCGGTTCTCCTGGGTGTCAGAGGTCAGGCTCTGCAACAGAACCTGTTTGCGGTTCTGGACCTGACGGGTGTTTTTCTGAATCAGAACCAGAAGCGGTGAGCCGGGATTACGTCAGACAGTAAACCCGGTGGTTCTGTTCGGTTTCATGTTGACATCCCATCATAAACAATCAGGGTATAAAATAACTGACCATGGCAACAGGTCACCTTCAGTCAGGACTCAGCTGTCTGAGCAGAACCAGAACCAGAACCGGCACACCTACAGTTGCTGAGGTTTTAACGTGTGAAACATCAGAGAAAATTTACGATAAGAAATTTCTACAGATTTACGTCTCCATGTTTGTTATGATTCAGATAATCAGAGTAGATCCTCCCTGAGCTGCTGCTGCTGAAACGCACCAAAAACATCCAATAAGAGGCAGGAGGCGGGGCTTAGTGCTGTCAATCAACATCATGTACTCACTGCTAAACATGCTGATGACGGAGAAAGAATTCACTGTTAGGAAAATTGTAATGGAAAGCTAGAATAGCAGCGGGGTAGCATAGCCACCAGTGACTGCTCTCAATGGTGGCTATGCTAACTAGAGAGCAACTGGTAGCTCTGCTAATACAGGCTCTGCTAGCATAGAGCAACTGGGGAGTGAACAGCGCGCAACAGTGACTGACAGCGCTAAGCACACAAAGACACGCAGCTGTTTGTTAGTTTCCCCCAAGTAGAAACGTTCAGCGATCGAACGCAAACTTGAAACCATTCAGATCAAAACAGGAAACACGTTATGTCACAAAAATGATAAAAACTTCAGTTTGGACCTTTTATAAGTCCAAACTGAGCTATAATAATAATAATAATAATAATAATAATAATAATAATAATAATAATAATATATTATTAATAATAATAATTATTATTATTACTATTATTATTTATAATAATAATTATTATTATTATATAAAAATAATTTATTATTATTGTTATTATTATTATTATGACTATCAATAATAATATTAAGCTTATTTTGTTATTATTATTATTGTATCAATAACAATAATGATTATTATTATTCATATTATTGTTGTTGTTTTAGAGGAGATCTGTTTTCAGATTATTTGTCTCATAAACTTCACCAACATGGAGACAAATTAATGAACCTGGAAAAATAAATTATGTAAAAGCATTTGTCACATTTTCTCCTTTAAACTTGTGTTTTTAATGTTACTGTTGTCAAAACCTGAACCATTCATTGGACTCTGCTTCGTCCCAAAGGTGTCATCACCATGGCAACCTGCTTGTGGTCTGCTGTCTGAACGGCTGTTTGGGGCCCTGCAGGAACCAAACCTGCAGAATCAGAACCAGAACCTGCAACTGTTTCAGGTGTGACTTCCTGTTGGGTCATGTGACCTGCAGCCGCTTACTGCTTATGAAACATCAAAGGTACATTTGGACTGAGTCGCCTCACCAGAACCAGAACTGGGCCAGATCCAGACCAAAAACTGGACCAGAACCAGAGCCAGACACAGATATGGTGCTGTCAGGCAGCACCATGTTCTGGCCGGAACGGGTCACTCAGAACCAGCGTCTGATTTGTTCACTCTGCAGTGGAGCTAGTTAGTGGCCGGGTTCTGGTTCTGAGCCTGGTCCAAACGATTCTGAGAAGCTTCTTCTGGTCAGAATTAGTTTAACAAACATTTCTGATCCATAAATATTCATATTTAATAAACCAGTTTTTATGTTTCAGGATTATTTTTATTTCGCTTTTATTAGGTAAAACAGTAAATCTGTAAAAGCAGCGGCTGAATAATCATCAAATCATAAATCAATAATCATCAAATCATAAATCAATAATCAGCATTAGGTTATTAAATGGTGACCTAAGGATTCATTAGTTATTTATCTTTCATGTAAACACTAATTATGCAGGGATAAACAGCTAATTATTGACTTACTTGAATTACGATCAGCTGAGTTTATAGGAAACATTAAATCAAATTATTAGTTTGAACAGATTCTGTTTATCATCAAATCTATTTTAGGAAGAAAATGAAAAACATTTTCTCATGAAATCATCAGTTTGTTGTTTTTATTAGTAAGTTTGAAAAGTAAGTGAACCCCATGAACCTGCCTGGTTTCATTTCCACATTAATTCAACTAAGGTATTAAACCGACAGGTAACAAAAGGTCATTAACATTTATGAACAACTCAGTCATATTAATGCTTAATAATCATTAAGCAGATTTAAAAAAAAAAAAATATCTAACAGCTAATGTGTTTGGTTTAATAATCTGATAAAATCATCAGATTATTAATGAACCTGTTCTGATGTATTGGAACCATTTTGGGTAATTAATGTGCTTCAGAGTTTAATAAGTGAGTAAGAAATTATTATCTGACCTGCAGCAGCGCAGCCACCGAGGGCGATCAACAGCAGCAGTGAATGGAGCCTCATCTCTCTCTCTCTCTCTCTCTCTCTCTCAGGCTGAAGCCAGAGTGAATCTGACTGAAGGAGAAACTTCCTCTTGAAACAAACTCACCTCCTTCTCCGTCTCCTCCTCCTCCTTTTGGTCACATGATCTGATTCTGCAATCAACACCATCAAACAGTTTTCCAACCGACCAGTTCAGGTTTGGATCAGACTGGGCCAGAAGTTCTTCTGATCCAACCTGGAGTGACTGGGAGTCCAGACACGTTGAGGTCATTGCTGAATTATCTGGTTGTTCAATATGAATTCATTAAAATTGTAGAGTTGCTCTAAGGAGCTGATCGACCCAAAACTGCAAACAAAATAGAACGATTTGAATTACAAACAGTTAAAAAATAATCCGGATTCTGGTTTTCTTTTACATATTATTATATTCAATCTGAATCTGATGCTCGTGTCTCTATGAATCTGAGATGTTTGTAAACATTATGAGAACGATGAAGATGATCTCAGCAGCAGGAGGAAAGACAGGAGGGGGCAGAGCAACAATATATGCATAGGAAATTTATCAGTTATTCTTATTCTGAGACTCTTTGTTTGTAGAGTCTTACAGGTAGAAAAAATATGGTTAAACTATTTAGTCTTCCAAGGTGGACCTTTTTCTTTGACTCCAAAACAATAGAATAAAACTCTTTCACAGAAACACAATATTCAACAATTTGTACATCGAGTAAAACACTTTGGATGCTGCAGGCAAATGTTATCATTTAGTTTGGCTAAGAATAATTATTGCCCTGTCAATGAATGACTTCTAATGGATGTTCTGTAGTTACCAGAACACAATAACGCCTTCACAAACTATTACCTGCTATTCTACCTGTCACTGAAAGTATTCTTAAAAGATTGTCTGTTTAGTCTGCAGCTCATGTGACCAAAACACTCAACAGTTAAAACTCGAGTTTAACATTTTAACTCAACTGGGTATTCTGAAATGTTCTCTGGAAACATTTCTTCAAAATACAGCCAGTGTTTTAAGCAAAACTAAAACTGAGCTGAGTGTCCACCAATAACCCGAGGAATTTAAAATTAGCCACAGTTTCACCAGGTTTGGCCATCGAGTGAAACTGGAACCACTTTCAGGTCTTGTTTATGTCATTTACGTAGCTCCACTTCCTAAAGGAGATTTTAAAAAAAATGCATAGTGTTTTGTGAGGGACTTTATCTATTGCGGTTCCAGTGATGCCAGAATTCATAATAAATAACAAAGGCGTTGCGGTGTCTCATTGAGTAATGTGATTATGTTAGTTGTGTTACCACCGCCACGCCACTAGAGGCGCCCATCCATTTTACACCCTCGTCCCTTTTGGGGTCTGGCACCTGTCTCCAAGCGAGACATCTCGGACGAGGCAGGGGACGGCCAGGACGGGTCACCAGTCCATCACAAGTTTGAGGAAAACATAATAAGTGTTATTTTTCCTACAATAATTAGAATAAAAAGCGTTTCTATCATTTCTTTAAACTGAAATAGATTCTAATGAGACAACAAGTAGATTAGAACTCATCACGTTCAACACAAACCAGTGTGTTGACCTTGGAGGTTACTTTAGTATTTTAATTCAAACTAAATGTCAAAAACACAGGTACAGTGAAACTGGTGACCCGGTTTGTGGTGTTGGCACCTGATCCGATTAGAAACCAGAGGCCGCTGCAGACAAAAAAACCATAAACACAGAAAAAAAACCTGATTCAGCTAAAGGGACATTCCACCTGATTACCCAAAACCTGCAGCCGTTTAATCTGGATTAGGAACCAGATTATTGTGCTGTGACTGTGGAATAATCTAGTGCTGGTCTGAAATCATGTTCTTCATGATGAGGGTGAAATAAACTGGAATGTTCAGATGATTCTGCACCAACTGCTCAATGTTAGCGAGCTAACTGGTTCATGCTAACAGCTTTCCATCACTGAACATGAACTGTTAAAGACTCACGTTTCAATCATCATTTACTTCTGAAAAACGAAAACTGATAAAGCTCTAAATGAATAACATGAATTGTATTAAATATTTTACTACAAACTGATGGTTTCCATTGATTGATAAGCTTTAGTAATGGAAAGTTCAGCAGCTACAGGTGTGCTATATTTTGTTAGTGAACACACTCAAGTGTGTAAGATGATGGATGGGGGGGAAGCATTATTAGGGCCAAGAAACATACAGCATATAACTCAGAGACAAAAGTAGTGGATGATGTTAAAGATAAAAAAAAAAAACAATTTCCCACGTTGGAGCAACTCCTGATGCGTGGTTGTACAGTGTAAAAAAAAAAAAAAACCTTCAACTATGGGAAAAGCTGAAAGATAAATATGAGTAGCCTCACCTAGGCCTGTTTAATGACTGTCACATATTCTTAAGAAATAAATTTACAGATGAGGAACCTTTACTGACGTGTTTCACATCAGCAAGTGGTACAGAAAAAATTTGATGCGTTTCAAATGTATTTAAAGCAACAATTACTATTTTGCAGAAAGCGTGTGTCAGATCAGTGTCGATTCAGCAGCAGGAAAAACAAACTGGACAAAGGTAGCATTCATGATGATGCGAGGGCAAATTCTGGAAAGGGAGTGATGTTAGAGGTTGTCTTTCACTGTAACTGCGGAAGGCTTAAAGTTAAATTTGAGTAACCTCACGTAGGCTTGTGTACTACCAGTCACTTATTCTTAAGAAGCCCTGGTACAAATGAGGAACATTACCAGGAGCAAGTGTTTCAGGAAAAAAAAGTTTCAAGTTTTGGAAACGGATGAAGGAAATCACAAACTCACAGTCAGCACTGACTAATCGTGTTACCATAAATAAATAACAGTTTCGCTGTATGTTTCCTTTAGAGGCATCTGTCCACTCTTATACCTGGACACACACACAAATGGCTTGGGGAGCAAAACCTTCGTAATTACAAGACTCTAAATCTGAACTTCTCTAGAAAAGGTGACAAACTATGTACAGTATTATTCTTGATACTGATTATCACTTGTGAGGGCCCCTTCCCTTTTTTTTCTTTTTCTTTTATATCATAGATATTTTTGATTATATGAATGTATATGCAATTGTTTAGACTGACATAAAGCTTTCAACCCAGTTACTATTATTGGGGGCTTTATGGGTGTTTACTATGTGTAGTTCAGAGTATTAAAGGATGTGGGAGCAGGGAATCGTTTAGGTTTTACTTGATTATTATTATTAACAACTTTAAATGAATCCCAACTTCACACCCACACCCACACACACACACAGGTACACTGAGCACCAGAGCCATCCATCCTTCCCCTCTGTGGCCTTTGTCTGTTGTCACCGTCTCCTCATTCTATGCCAACTGTTAGACTCTGCCAAGCAGTAAATGTTTATTGCTGATCCCTTTTAATTGCATTCTTCCTAAACTTCATAGAGGTTGGAAGGAGTTTACGAAGGCAAGGTGTCAAAAAGTCGGCGAGCAAATGTTTAGCCTCTTTAAACTTCTCCAGGTATGGTATATTCTATAAGTATTATTCTTGATTATCTAACAGTTACTGTTTTTTCATACTTTAATTGTATTACTCTTAAAACTCGGAGGTCAGAAGGAGTTTAACAAAACACATCCGGTCTGCAGAAATTAAAAGCAATTAATGATTGGGGTCATAAATTGGTCCACCGATTAAATTTTGTCATAATTTTGTCTCTCTGACGTGCTACGGAAAACTAGCAGCAGCATGACCTCGCGACCCCACAGGGATGGGACAGAGAACTGTTGATGAAGGTGGATCACGTCCGCTGAATGAGACTGAGAAGCTGTTGGATATATTTTATTGAAGCATTTGGTCCTGACCCGGTTCTGTCCTGGGTCAGGACCGGGTCGGGAGCAGGTAATCTGAGTAGAGCTATACGGCGGGTATGACTGCGGATAAATCGGAGCCAGAGCTGCTTCTCTCTTCGTATTAGTAGGAAACATGGCGGCTCCTCTGTCTCTGATTGGTCCAGCTGCACTGGGGCGGGGCCAACACCAGGTGGAACCTTCACAGGCAGCTCTCCTCCTCTTCCTCAGCAGGAGCTTCCGGTGGTGATGTCACTTCCTGTGACTCCAAGATGGCAGCCGGATCTGACAGCAGAGGGCTGAAGGAGAAAAACACAGTCATCGTCAAGGAAACGCCACTGAGAAGACATGTGACATGCTCTGCAGCTTCCTGCAGGAGTTTCACAATAAAAGCATGCTCTGTTTCCAGCTTGGTTCACCTGCAGCCTTCCCTCTGGACCCAGAACCAGAGCCAGCTCTGGCAGGTTCTGCTGAAGTTATAAAATGTCTCTCCAGAACTAAGATGGCAGCAGAGGTGCCTCTGACATCACTTCCTGCTAGCCGGGCCAGAATGCCTAACTCTTCATAGGTACCTGACTGCGTCCAGCGCAGTGCTGCTGCTGGTTTCCATGGTGACGACAGGCATGATGTAAGCATCGTGGGAGGGGCCTGAGTCGTCCGGTTCCGCCTCCAGCAGGCAAGTCTTCACATCAGAGGAAGGGCTTCCTGTGAAGTGAAAGCCGAGCTCAGCTTCCTGGGAGTTTCTGTCCAACTGGACGTCCGTCTCTGTCTCCGTCTTGGTCGTCCGGGACAGGCTGCGTCTGGACTGCAGGACGGCCGGGCCGTCTCCTCTCAGGAAGTCTTCGGTCAGCTGGGCGTACCGCTGAGGACCCCAACACACAGAGGAGTGACGACCCCACACACGACTCAGACTGCTCGTCTCGTCCACGTCAGCTCACCTGTCGGTAGCCAGCTGGCAACATGTTGCCCACGGCATCCACCAATGATGAGAAAGATGGTCTGGAGAGAGGATCTTCATCCCAGCACTGCTTCATCACAGCGTACCTGGAACCAGAAGACGTGTTGAGTGGGGTCGATGCGTGTTGAGGCGTGTTGATACGTACATGTCAGACGTAGCGTGTTCCGGTCGGTCCATTCTGTGTCCTCTCTTCAGAGCAGAACTAAACTGTCGAGTTGTCAAGAGGTCAGGATACGGGGCGCTCCCTGCCACACAACACACCGCCTCGTGTTAACTGGTTACACTG